ACAAGCAGGGGATCGAAACTACACCACTTGACTCAATTACTGACCTTATTTAACGTGCCCACATTAAACCATTCAGTTCAGACAACTCCCCACCCCTCACCCCACCCTATCCCTGAAAATTAATATAAATTTTAATAATAACTGTAATTTACAATCTGATCATAATTTACTTATCAATAAACTGTTATTATCAATAAATGTATGATCGTGTCCATACACGTTTTAATACTACATTAACTGCCTAAAATGCTTATTAAATATTAAATATTTATAGACAAACATTCCAAGGTCAGAGAAATAATAACCACACGTAATTTAAAACATGTTAAACACACAACAAATCATTTTACTTCAAGCTTTAAATAATTACTGTTTACACGCTGAATTGCATCAATTTGCAAAAACAAATCATCACTTCCTCCTATTCAGCAGAAGACAATATTTTCAATACAGACAGCATTTCGTAGGCCAATCAGAAGTGTAAAATAATGATAAACCTGCCAGCTTAGTTAGCACCTAATGACCGAAGAGACAAAAAATAACCCACCCTTTAATCAATAAGAAGTCATTTTCAATAATTTCTGATCAATTTTAGCATCAGTGGGAAAATTCATTATCAAAATGGCAGCATAAAAGTCGTGTAATGGGCAAGCTGGTGTTTTCATTCTCTGCACATAGTTCATCATATTGAATGTTTCTGCTCAGGGAATTTATATTGTGTTAAAAGAACAAGACCAAATTAATTTTTAGTATTTTGTATTAGAAAGAAAAGGGATGTATTTTTTCATCTCGTTATTAAAACAATGTTGAATGTTCCTCATTTATATTTTTCCTCCAATAAAATATATTTATTATGGTTTTGAATTGTATAAAATTTGCAGTAAAATGTCATCATTTAAACATACATTATGCAAGAGCTAAATCTGCCTATTGCAGGTCTTTCTTTAGGCCTGAAATGTTATCAGAAGTAGTAATTAGACATTAATTAACTTATCCAGACCATGTTTATTGGATTAGGTTCCGATTTGCTGTTCGACTTCCATTCATAATTTAATCAAGAAATAGATAATCGAGACTTTGTTTTTTATCCTACCAACTTTAGTAATGATGATCGAGGCTAGATCAAAAATTCAATTGCTAAAATCTTGGTTCATAGTGGATCAATTGGACTGAAATTTTCAGCAAATTCCCTTTACAGTATCTAGTTTTTAACTATTATAGTGAGAACTGCCAGCTCTTTATCTAATCTCCCATAATGTATCTTTAAATTGCTTGGTTTCAATTAACTATTATATTTCAATTTTTCTAAATACAGTTTACATAACATACATTTTTCAAATACTCAAAGTTTAAGCAGAATTTTGGATCAAGGACAGTATATATATATATATAGCATGTATTTATCTATTTATCAAGGACAACATCACTAAAGCATGTATTTATCTATTTTACAGTTAGAACTCACTAATCATCAGTAAGCCAACTTCAATAAAAATTCCCTCAAGATTCTATCCACTGGGGTTATAACATGAAAATGTGAGTCTAAAATAAAAACCATTCACAGTAATACTGTTAGAATATGATATTGGGGAAATGAACTATGATTGACATGTACATGCAAAGATAAATTGGATTGTGTGAATCCTGAATACACATCTCAATATACTGACCATCGCATCTCTGGAATATTTTTATTGACCACTGCTTTCTCTTAATGGTACATGCTTGTCAATTGTAGCATATTTCCATACAGATGAGATATTATAAAAGCATGTAGTTGATGGTATAGTGTAAATAGTTTTACGTTATACATTTAAATCACCTTATTACCATTTACTTCAACTCTTTCTAACATGCTATAAAATACATACATAAACTAGTGTCTTCAGATATTGGATATCTTTATAGGGATATAAGCATGTAATATGGACCATGGCCTTCAGATGCCTGGTTAACGAGAATCATGAATATGACTAAACCATTATTTTATGATGATATTTTGTTTCAGCTAATCAGTAGTTATATTCGTGAACAATATTTAGGGTTAAGAGAACATTAGTTTTGAATATAACACAAGTGCCACAAAATAAGAGTGAGGGAGCAAACTTAGTAACCTCATCACCAACATCTCTTGAGAACAAACTTTTATCCAGAGTTCTCAGATAGTCATGTTGTGCCAGTTATAAAAATATCTTCATCCCATTTATTTCCATACACAAAAACACATACTTATGGAAAAACAGCTACTTATTTATTTGAGCTGTTTTTCCATAAGTATGTGTTTTTGTGTATTGCTCTATCCAGTTACTATTATACCATTCAGACGCTTATTTTTAAACCAGTTCAAAATCGCCGGGGATTTTAAGACAGCATCGTGTTGCATTCACACGTACTATAAGCCAAACCAGTTGAACTATTCTGACCTCTTCGGTCGGAGGATAGAGTAAACTGCACATGGGTAGCGTCATATTCTTTATTCGGTTCTTGCACGCTGTCGATAACATTGGCACTGCATGACCCCAATATTTTCACAGGAATGTAACTTACTGCATACTACGCATGCTCAAAGCAAGCCAACCCATTCAGACAGTCAAGATGAACCAGTTTAAATTAAAAAGCCTTCTCGAAGAAAGGTCGCGAGCTTGGATTTTTAAACTGGTTTATTTGCCCCACATTTGCGTTTAGACGACAAAGTTAAACAGGTTTAACAATCCCCAGGGTTTTTAAACTGGTTTAACGATCCCCAGGGGTTTAACTTAAACGTCTGAACAGGCTATAAGTGCCTCTAAAAGATTATCATATATTTCAAGTCATATCAATGCCATATATTGTAATCTGTTCTTTAATTAACAAAATTGGTAAAATAAAAAACCAGCTCATCATCTGCAACTACTAAAGCTGTAACTACCAAACTACCAAAACAAAAGCATGATTTATAGGAAATAGAAGGTTACCAAAGGTTTGATAACAAACCATACATCAAGATATACACATGTAAATCTTCAAGAAATGGATAATCTTTTTTATTTTGTTTATTTTTTCATGAATTATCTTAATTTCACATGTTTGGTAAAATATCAGATTTAAAACACATGTAAAACTTAAGTTTATTTTCATGAGCGAAGTATATTGAGCGTAAAAGTTACTTTCTGATTTGCTTGTAGATCTTTAAATAGAAGTTGGCTATCTAAAATAAACAGAGCTTTAACAAAAAGGGTAACAGATGTGAGAATTATACAAGTACTTAAACTTATAGCATTTGTCGTCTGCTCAAACACCATATCAGTTCCGAGAAAAGACAAATTTATGAGAGTAATCAAGAAACTAATTGCACGCCAAGTTTTTATTATTATCCATTGATAAGACATGCTTGTGTTTTATGATCACATTTTATTGTAATATTTGGCATCGATAATCTGACCTTGTCATGAATTGGGAAGGGGAGGTCACTAGAAAGTAATAAAATGGTATGACGACATGTCTGCACAACAACAGAATGTGTCACCATTTTCATATATTTTTTTTTTATCATTTCCTTCATTTGTATTACAACAAAAAAATGTAGGTTTTTGTTAAGTAACCATTTGGTTCATTATAGCAACCGTACCACTGTGGAAAAATATAGATCTGTGATATAGAAAATTTTGCAGAAGAACCTTGTTTGTTCATTTATTCATCGAACTTGTGTCCACTTCTACAATATGTCATATCCCAGACAAGACAGGAGTCACAGAAGCCTGAATATTGATAAGTTTCAACAGTGACCAGATTGCTCCATAAATGGTTACTTGATCTTTAAAACATTATTAAAGATAATTCTAACCATAATATTCAAAGTTCATATTTCCATCCCGAAGTCTTTCGTCCTATCCTAAAAATATTGGTTTTTAAAATTCTTCATTTTTTATTTTAAATTAAGGTAATTACTATCTCTATGGCATCTAACTGAAATAATGGCTGAACCATGATACAGTTTTTCGCCCCCATAATCCTTCAACTTCACAGAATGATTTCTAAACTAAAGAGCTAGAAAGTCAGCGAGAAGCGACCTATTAGCAGATGAACTTACAGATAAGCAAGCCATCAGATACAATCAGCCTAGTTCTATCATCATTTCAACTTCTGCTGTGCTTCAGCCATTATTGGCACCGTCTGTCAGGCAGGCAGTTAGATTATCACCGATTCCTATGGTGTCATTACTTACACAACATTATCTATCAATAGCTTATGGAAATGATATAATGTTTACAGCATATAAGTTATCTATATTCCGCTAGTATGAATATCATCAATAAATAAAAGCGCAATATCTTCTTTACGTACTGACACTAAACCATCCAGCTGAGAAAATTACCTAAGATTTATATGTTGGCTTTTTACAGCAAGAAAATGATTGGTGGAAATGATTGACGCAGCAGAAGAACAGTTTCGACAGTTGGTTTGTCATTTTGCTAGATCAGAATGTCAAACAGAAGCAAGGCTATGACAATATGGAAATTGACTACAACCATTAAGTCATTGATTTGGGTTATACTGCCAATATAAGACTCTACTGAACTAGAAAAGGTTGCCTATCATATTAATAGCTGAAAAATGATGTCTGTCTATTTGAGTTTTTCTTTTTTTTAAAAGATAAAAATTAGGGGAGAGAGAGAGAGAGAGAGAGAGTTCACAAATATCCAGGAATACCATTGTACCTGCTGGAAAAAACTTACAAGGTTAGCGAGTCAAATCTACTCCTTGTTCTATATGAGATAATATTTTAATTATTAGTGCTCAACAATAAATCAACTTTTATATTCAAAATAGGAGTGAATGAAATGAGGTTTTAACGTCCTACTTTTCTGCACTAACTAAGCTAATGAAGTCAGTATTTCATAGGGCTAACCCAGCCAATGGAATGTTTTACGAAACAGGAAGGATGGACCTGGGGTTGGTTGTCCCACATATACTGGTATATCTTGAAGATGAAGGATTGTAAAATATGTTTCAATTCTTACCTTTCCAGCACCAGGATTGAGTAATCGTCCCAGACCTCGAGCTAAACATGGTGGAGCAGGTGGAGGTGATGAACGGATGATGTCACAAAAATTAGTTGGAAATGGTGGTGGTTCTGGATCAGGTGGCTGATGACGCTTTTTCTTTTTACTGATTTTCTGAGCAGCCCTGAAAGTATAAAACAGACATAAATAAAATGTATACATGTATATGAAGGATAATAAATAAAATACAGATTTTCTTAACAACCCTGATATGATTTAGAGAGAGAGAGAGAGGTTTAATATTCATACAAACTAGGTCAATCCTTGAATGTCATATTGAATATTAAAATCTCCACAATAATCACTTGTGCAAGGGTCTTTGGCAGTAGGGGGAAAGCCAGATATAACCAGAAGAAACCACCACATATGCCTCGATGAGCGACATAAAGCACATGCACGTTTGACCCCTCCCACACCCACTCCTCCCCACCCATGAAACTTGTAAAAGGCTAAGTAAGTAAGCTACACAATCAGATACATGTAGGTATCCTCATATCATAGGAAAGCGCACCACTATTGAAGATGATTTCCTTATTTCACTCATTGAATTTCAAATGTATGGAAAATAGCACGTCAGACCTATTCCAGTCATTAATCATAACCTTAAATTTATTTGTTGAATAAACAAACGTATCAAAGGTATAAAAAGACAAAACATAAAGGAAGTTAGGTCATCAAGATAAAAACTAGAACAATAGAAGATGACTTAAAACAAATCTTAAAATGTCCTAATTCATCAAATAATATCACATTTATTTCAACTGAATCCCATAATACTGTCCAGGAATTCATCTAACACTGTTGAACATGCATGAAAGCAGTAAAAGATATAATGGAGTCAAATGTTTTGCATGATGAGTTTGACCTTTAGCCAATTAAATCTTCAGATAAACTTTCTGATTTATAACAATAACACAAGATCAAAATAAAGGTATTATTTAAACAGTAAAGCTCTGTTTTCTTGCTAAGATAAAAACTTCTATTTGTTAATGTGATTCAATATACTATGACATGCAATAACAATTCATTCTATGTATCTTTTCTTTGTCACTGTTATAATATTGATAAACCAATTCAAAAAGATTGTGTATATATATACTCGACCCAAACTAGGTCATTTTGGGACAAACATATGGTTCAATTTTATTTCACCAAATCGCTTGTGCAGTGGGAGTAACCTGGAGGACGAGGAAAAGAGCCACGAGGTTGGACAGGCGATCCTACTCATTGTCAGGTACAACTGGTGAATCGAAACAATTCCACTTGACTCAATGACGGGCCTTATGATCTTGGCTGGTTAATCCAGTTGCTTCAGTTTCTGAAATCCAAAGTCCAAACAATTAATCTACTTAGGTACATGTTGTGGTAGGTAGGATCGAGTAGGATATGCTTCATTTTTATGAATACCCAGCATCACTTCTGATTTCAGTTCACATATTTGTCACATGTTTGTTGCACTTTTGTAATTAATGGTTTACAACAATAAATTCCTAAATATGTTGGGTTGTTTCTAATAGACCCAAAGAACATTGGAATCGTTCAACTAACATTTAAATCAACTAAAGTTTACTATCATAAATGCTGCTAGAAGCACAGTATTATTACATAATAATTCATTTCCACACATCTTATTATCAATGGTAGTCATATGAATTTTTTATAGTATAAATCTTTATAGTTGATGTATCTTGTTGCCACCTTTCTAAAAGTCAAAGTGTGTCATATAAAAATTAGCATCGTTTGCCTTAAAAAATATATTCAAATTGGTATTATTCTGTATTAGACTTGATAAATTGGCTTTCTTTTTAGATTATACCATGCTACTAGATTTATTATTGTTCTGGAAACAGAATATGGAATGAAATCTGAGGGTTCATACATAAATCTGATAACCAACAAAAACTAGAAAATCTTGAATACCTGATAGTCTCATGTCTTACATTATCAGATACTTTTTATATTTTTAACAATCAACAGACCAAAGTCACTGTTCCATCAATAAGTGCCTAGCCCCAGCCCCTAGGTACATTATGTTGCTATGGACATGTGTATAATACAAGGGATGATTTTGCCTGAACAGGTGTGTTTCCATTTAAATTGCAGCCCAGGGTCTTTCACATGCATCATAACCAGCCTCTCCGACTTTATCAACTCTAACCTAGTTAGAAATACTTTGACCTTGATGAGTCTATTGTCCTGAGAATATGTCTTGTAGACTTCCGGAGAAAACAAATCAAGAGTATTAATTTTTACATTTAATGTTACATTTGAGAACCAAGTGAGAGAAAAAAGTTTGGTCCAATCCTTAAACTTGAATTCAAATCTGAAAACCAGAGGGGATCACAAAACCGACATATTTTTGAGCATATAGATTGATTATCGACATCCTTTGCCAAGACAAACAATACCATATAATAAAATGCAAGGAAATACATATATTTATATCATATCATAGGTTAATGATTTCTCCCTGTTGACATTTACTGGCAGATGGAGATGAATTGATACCTATAGAAAAAGGTATCAGTAAAGCATCTTAGTGTGTTTATATTCCAATAACATGCGGGAATGGTCTTATATCAAAGGTGATAGGTAATGTTAAAACAATCCATCTCAACACGTGGAAATTCTAGAGTAATATTATTGCTGGCTGGCCATAATACTTATCGACAGCTAATATCTTTGCCCTGAGGTTTGCTCTCGACAACTGACACATCGCCTGTTGTAACCACTGTTCATCCTATCTCAGATATATCTAGCACAAACAGCTTAATCAAGTACAGCTTACGTTACATTCTAATAGACTGGATTCCCCCCTGTTTCACGGCACCTTGTGAAACATTGGCTAACTTCATCTCTGAAGGTGATCAATTTGTAATAGAATAGGGGGATCAACATGGATCCTATGAACTGCAGGAGTTTAAATTAATACTCCCTAAGTTCCACCATCAACTTTTCAAAATGTTTCTTATTTACTGATGCTTTTAAAAAAATGTGCACTGTCATCTATGAGAATACAAAAAACTTATCAAATATAGACCCATTCAGCACTCAAAGTCCAGGAATTAATAGGATCATTAGAATACATCAGAAACTTTCTTTACCATTTTTATTTGTCTATTTAAAACTGTAAAGATAGTTTACCAGAAAGGAAAGGCACACCCATAAGCAGCTTTGTTGATAAATATTTCTACTGTACCTTTTTTACAAGGTTTCATAATAAATGCCGGCCCATAACTATAGGAGTTGTCATTGAAATTCAGAGAAAATCAACTTATAATCTGTATTTGTAAATCAAGTCGAGTAACAATCAATAGATTTCTTCCTGTTTAATCAAATGAATAAACAATAACATTTTCAGAATACCAATTAAAATTGTGTTCACGGAGGTGCAAATAAGATTTTGTATATTAATAGGAATAACTTTTCATGTTGTTTTGGAATTCTGAAATTCAACAGGCTTCTTCTATTCAATGAGCTCACATAACTTTTCTAAAGACATTCTCTGTTTCCAAACCACCTATTGAAGTAGAAAATTTTCCATAAATGGAATGAAATGGGGTTTAACATCCTACTTTTCTGCACCAACTGGGCTAATGAAGAAGCACAATTTCTCATAAATCATAAGGGTTTCTTGTACGGATTGTGGATGCATGTTTTTATCGTCAAATCTTATTTCAATATAACAATATTATCTGCTACATATTAATAGTGCTCTTTTACAGATTTTGGTCAGGATGTATTTGTTTATCTTCTAATCTTATTTATACCTTTCATCTAGGCCCTACTACATATCAATACTTCAAAAAAAAGACTCTATGACATTAATCATACATGAAGTGCTGATAGATGGTATACTTAACAGGGCGGATTTATGTAATATCATGTACCATTAAGTTAAACTGATTATCACGCTATCCATTTTAATTTCCTCCTATAATCTCTTAAGTGATTTTCTATAATAGTATGGTCTAGACTATTTTGTCAGCTGTGTATTCATTCAATTAAAGTACTATGATGATTGAAGCTCTAGTGGTCATCGTTGTCAATTAATATATATTCATTTAATCCTACCCCCCACCCCCTCTCTACTCAGTATATGTACTGACCGCCTGCTTAATGAAATAATCCTTCATCAAAATCCCCCAATGACAGAATGATTAAATTGGTAAAGACTGGGGCTTCATTTGTAATGCATCACTTCAAATTCAATTTTCAACAAAAGTAAGTGTCCACAATCAAATTACACTATACATTCATTAAGATAGTTATTTTGAAGTTAAATTAATACAAATTTAGGCACCTCAAATACAAACGCTGGCAACTACTAAATTGGAACAAAATTAAAAAATGTTTATACATTATACATATGCATTAATTTTTCTAAATTTAGAATAGCATGTTTTAAACTGGTGATACAATGACATGCTTTGCATCATAGGTCCTTGTTGGTAGTATAATGCCGGTCAAGACCGAGGGCTATGGAAAATGACCGTAACTAGAACTGACCCATTGGTCAATTTGTTATAGAGTTGTATACATAGTCGTCCACAGATTATACTGAGTGTTGTGTTGATAATTAATGAGTGTCTGGTAGTTAAACAATAAAAGTTAATTGATATGTGTAGTGATCCATTGTTAGTCATTCACTATTTGAATCCCCCACACATTGTCCATGTGTCATAAGAGAGAGTGAGAGAGAGAGAGAGAGAGAGAGAGAGAGAGGGAGAGAGAAATGGGGTTTAACATCAACTCGACACAAACTAGGCCATTTCGGGACTAACACAGGGTTCAATTTTATATCAATAATTCGCTTGCGCGTAGGGGTCTTTAGCAGTGGGAGGAAACCAGAGGACCCGGAGAAAACCCACAAGATTGGACAGGCGACCCTACTCCTTGTCATGTGTCATAAGAATTTTCTAAAACAAAGCCACTTTATCACTAATATGGTCACGCACGATGTAAACAAGATAATTATGATATTCGCAAAAAGGGCAATCAGAAAAGAGGAAGTACAGCTCTTCGAATCCAACCAACTGTCATATTAAATAAAGATAGGTAGTCAGGCAACGAAAGGGTCATAACTCTGGCAGTAATTATCGGAAATAGCTGCAAATCAATAGG